AATTCAGAATCAGTTATTTTTTATTTTCGGTCCCAAAAACTTTTCATTATTCCGAACCCCTCAAACAATAGCTGATTCTGAATAATTCCCCGAACACTTTTCATTAATCCGAACCCCTCCATTAAAAAGGGTGCCACATTAAGGTTTAGGCTTCGGGCTTTAGGGTTGAAGTTCGGTCACTTACTGACCTTGGGACCCTTCTCCCTAAGGGTCATAAGGTTTAGGATTTTTGTAGAGCTTTGGTACCCAAGTATTCAGGGTTTGGATACAAAAAGTTCAGGTTATAGTATCGGTGACCTCACACTCCGCACTCCACTCCTTGGTAAATGTTCCCCTGTTATATAATGACACTGGATTTTCAATATTTGCTCATTAGGGGGACAGGGTATTACTATCGTTATTCTGGGGGATTATCTGTAGATGCTCGATACACAAAATCCATACCTAAACCCTAAAACCTAAACCTGAGTAAGGATGCTGATGCGGGATTTGGCCCATCAACATGAAGATTCCACTTCTGACATCCTACCGCATGGCTTCAGGAGATCCTCCTCAGTTGACGCCCTCGGCCTGTGAATGTTCCTAGGGAACTGCTACGGTTCTGGAATCTTTGCTTAAGGTGTGGGAATTCTGTCGCTGGGCTCTCGGTGGCCAAAGGGTTCAGGAGTTGAGGGTTTGGGGTCTGGGGTACATCAAAGGAATTTTGTTGGCAGCAGCTTTTCCTCTTGCTCTTCCCATATTAGCCTTATGTAAGGGCAACCACCTGGTAACCTCCCTTCCTCAAGTGAGGGATTGATGCGCTTAGGCTGCAAGCTCAAACTGCCAAGTTCAACATCAAGTTTCTAGTGCTCAAGGGAGCGTGGGGGAGGGAATGTAGGCAATGTAGGTAACAATATGGGGGACAACATGAGTATTACTATAGCGACCCACTCCTCCTTGACAGTAAGTCATTAACCCCGACTAGGAACATGACTCGTGAGGTCAAGGCGAGGGCTCCCTTTAAAGATAATTGTCCTTGGAATGAAATCTATATGGGTTTGGTCCCAGTTTCCACTGGATCCTCCTCAGCACCCATCCGCCAAGGCCTCCTGAATAGGGAGATAAACCCTGAAGCAGGATGGCACCCTGACATTGCAAGAGTTTCGCACCGGTGCTTGAACCTCGGTCTCTTTCCCAAAAGCTTGCGGGTTGAGGGGTTTAGGGTTTAGGGGTCTAGGGTTTGGGGTTTAGTGTTCAGGGTTTATGGTTTTGGGATTTAGGGCGTAGGTAGGGTTTCAGGTCCATGTAGTTATACACAGCCTTTAGGGCTTAGGGTTGGACCGTGTGAGTTTTGGGTCTCTACCATAATGGGGACATGATTTTTGAGGTACCCAAAAAGGAACTGAAATTGATTACTTAGCACATGGGTGGTTGTCAAAATTATGGTCCCTTTTTGGATCCCTATTATATTACGGCACCTAATATTTAGGGTACCCAAAAAGGGATCATAATTTTGACAACCACCCACATGAGTCTTCTTTGCGCTTTCTTGCGCTCAGAGGATGATCTTGTAAGAAATGGGTAGCTATGCAAATTTCAGGCTCAGGATGACTTGGTTATGTAGGATTATAGAGGGTTATGTAGGGTTATATAGGGGAATATAGTGTTATATAGGTTCAGGGATACTTTGAAATTCTGGTCTTGGGTGTATTGACTCCCCGATGCTTTGTGCAAGGTTGCTGGAAAAAAGCGGTGCTATGTACCCTACACGACATGGCTGCCCGTGTTTTGGAGGCGTAGGTCTTCGTCATGTCAATACCTGGCAACAAGTTTGAGGGGGGAGCACAGAGTTGCCAAGAACTATTTCTGCCGATCTCTAGGCCCCTTCCCTCCTGAAGCTTGCAAATTAGTGTTGGATGGTTTTTGGATGTTGAGGTTCGTGGTTGGTGGTTCGTGCGAAGGGCCACAATGCTTGCATGACGGCATATGGTGCTGTTTGATGATATTGCTGCGCCGGCTTCGGGACGGATGGAAAGAAAATCTATACTTGCATGGTCTCTGTGCTCAGGTTGCCAAATAATTGAGCTTCTTGGGAGGTTCTGAGGTACCGGTGGCCAGGAATAAGCTAGGTAGGCAAGTGCATCCGTTTCGTTGAGCCTCAAATCGAAGCCTACATGGGAATGTGTGACTGCTAACGACCAACGGTCAGGCCAAGGCAGGTACAGACTCAGTAGGTTAGAGCAAAAACTAAGGCCTTTTTCCTGGGTTCTACGCTGCAACAGCCCAGCAATGCAACCTTGAAGGCCTCGATGCCTATTGTCCTAGGTGGAAGCAGCAGCGCCAGTGCACTGCATGGACTGTCATGCGTGCGTGGGCATGGGGCGCTGTTTCAAGAATTCAAAGCAGGGCCTTAGCGAATATGATATATGGGCATGATACGGAGATTAAAGAGTCCGGCTTTGAGGACTGTTTTGAGAAATTCCGATATAGCTTTCGCGCAGTAGCATATGCCGGCTTTGCAATACTTCCCAAACCTTATAAAGCCTGAAACCCTAAGCACCCAAATCCCTAAACCCCAAGCCGTGCTGGGTTCAGGTACCAGGCTGTCAGCTCTTAAAGTTTGCGGTAATTACCCCCAATCTTAGCAATTTGATGGGCTACTGACCGCTTTAAGCACCATGTCTCCTAGGACGCTTGTTCGTGTTCCCTGCAAGTAGGCCTTTTGGGGGAAGAGAGCTGTAGATGCGGGATTTGAAGGTTGGCTTTGTCAACCAAACGAAAGGGGCCAACAAACAAGCGCAACTCAAGGGGATTAAACACCGTCCGGTTGTGTAGGTTCCCAAACCAGGGTACCAATTCTGCACTAGAAATATGAGATGCTGCACCATGATGGGCACTCATGAGAGCACCCATAGCTTAATGGCACATGCAATATCCGGGAACTTGCCATCCCTTACCCCAAAAACCTGACGCCTCCCCTGTGTAGCACAATCATCTTACACTGTGCACGTGCATGACCACAGTTTTCAAGCCCAAGGGGTCCATGTAGCCATATAGTATGTTCTTGGGCGGTGCATTAGTTATATGGGAACTCTTTTGAGCCCGAAGTATATATCACATAACTACATGAAGCCTGTGTGAAGGCCATAAGGCACCTTACCTGGACTGTGGATGTCATTTCTTGTGGGATGCTGTGCTATTTTTTTGACGGTATATCCCCAAGGGTAGGACACCCAGGGTCCAGGTAAAGTTTATGGATAGTGCTTTCTTAGGTTCATTTGGAGCCGTAGGGCATCGCAGCTTGGAAGCTACATCCAGCACTTAAGCCCTAAACCCTAAGCCCTAAACCCTGAGCCCTCACCCAGCCCTAAGCCCAAAACCCTAAACCCTAAGCCCTATTGGAGGCTCAGAGGATCCAACAGAAGGGACCTGGACCTGAGAGGAATTCCTTCAGAACTGTCTGCGAAGACTTCCCAAACACCTGTAATAATGGCCACTGTACTCTATATTCATTATCTAAGATCAAAGGTCAATAGTATGGGTATTTGGCAGGTCCAGGTGCCTTTTGTTCTGGCAGGTTGTTAGCAAATGCAAGAAGAAGTTTCCACTGGAAACTTTGCTGGTATTTGGGGTCCTTCTGGTTGTCAACTCCTACCAAAACGCACAGTGAGGGAACCCTCCAGATATATGGACTCCAATCTCCCCATTTCCAATGAAAGGCTTGTGAACAGTTTTTGACTTGAATTGAGACCTGCAGCTGAACAATGCATGGCAGCTAGAAGCCTGCAGGAAAGCTTGCGGAAGCGGCTCTTGCTTGCGCCCCAGAAGCTACGGTTTGGTTTTGAGTCGCGTGATAGGAAGGATACTTGTTGCTGGGGGCATACGACGATGAGCTGGATGCGCTGAATTTCTATGAGCTTGCTCTTTGAGAGTGGGTGCACGCGGCATGGGGCTTCAAAGGAGCTTGATTTCGTCGCATGATAGGTTGTAGTCCCTGTAGCATAGTTCTGTTATCGTTAATGTGTATATATACGCATCTAAGGAGCCCTTCTCGTCCCCAAAGGTGGAGCTCTATGCAGAAGCTCAGTAGCACGTGTTGCTACACAAGCATTATGTAGACGGCATCAAACCCAACGGAATGGAGCAGCCCCCAATACGTCCCAATGCCGGAGTCTCAAATGAGCCATAATCGGGATTATATTGGGAACTACTATCAGGAATCAGGGTTATTCAGGAGGGATACTAGGAGTTTAGATTTCGGCTCACATGAAGGGGTCTGAAGGCTTTGATGAACTACGCCGCAGAAACCAACTCATTGGCTTTTAACTGCCACGACCACTTCCCAAGAATCACCTCGTCTACCCAGAGTCCCAATGTACCTAAAGCGCGTGTTCGTAGGGAATGCTTAGGTATCTTCGCCGTTTTCAGGGTCTAAGATTACTCTAAAGCCCTGGGTCTGCAGGTCGATTGAATTATACTCGCGTTTGCGCCCCCTACATTGGGCTAGTGGGAGCCCTAAAGAAGGTACAGAACCCTAAGCCATTCCAACCCTAGCCCGTTAGCCTCAGGGGATCAGGTCAATTTCTTTTTGCAAAGGACAGCCTGGGTTAAGGGTCTAAGGTAAAGGGTTCAGGGTTTAGGGTGTGCAGAATTTGGAAGTTTGCCTTGTGAAGATCCTTTCCGTCCTTTACATGTTCGGAATATAGTTGGTGCATAACCCTACGGGTCCGCGTACCTACATGTTATGGGAAAGTATATGGTGTCTAGGTAATTGGACGCCTAAGGTGATTCCTTAGAAGACGCGCATGATCCCGGATGTACAAGACTACGATGGTTCCTGTTTCTTAGTATACAAGGCATCAGGAGGTGCTATAGGATGATATCTGAACAATGTATACAGCAATATCCCCAGCAATGCTGCCGTGTAGACAGCGAATCTGGAACTCAGTCTCAAGCTACTTTTTTGACGACTTGCCCGGGTACTGGGCATTTTCTTTAGTACCCGCCTCCATGGTACGGAAGATTTAATGGGCAGGTTTTAAGGGTCCATGTGCCTCAGGCCACAACCTGAGACCGACCATAACACTCACCTGTTTGCTTCTGATTTTGTCCTATTGCACTGTTTCCCGCATAGGGAATTGTTTTGAATCCTTGCATGCTGAGCTACCAAAGCTCCAAGCCTATTCGACCAGTCCAGATAGCCAAATCCCAGCATCGCGTTCCAGTAATGAAGATTTTACTGTATATGGGGGTATGTAGGGGAGACCCAATTACCAGATCACTCAAAGAAGTACTGGCAGAGGACATCTAACACCAGAATGCCCTTCGCCGTATTCTGCGGGAGCAACGCGAGCTGCAAACCCTTTGTGGGATTGGGCAATTGATGAAGCGGTAAATCCTGAATCTCCGCGAACCACACCTATGATGCTCGCCCCAAAAGCAATGCCAAACTCCAATCGCGACACTTGTTCCGCTGCGCCAGATGTCTTGGCTTTCCTTCGATGCTATCGGCGCTGTCGGCTATGTGCCGGGCACGGATTTCCAGGTCTTGTGAGAAAGTATTTCAACCAATCATGTCTAGGTTCTGGTTCACAAGTTTCGTGCAAGCTGGTCAATATTTGGTAGCTTCCATAAAAGGGGATCCCAATATAGACCCCCAAATAATCTAATGCTAATTCTTGGGTTTCTAACCCCAATAGAGCCCTATATCCCCTTTAAAGGACAAGTCTGTACAGACAATTCATGTCTCACGCTGGCCAATGGAAGATGCATTCTCACTGCTCAAAACCTGTCGATGTGTAAGGGCCATGCCCCAGGGCCTGAACTTGAAAGTCTGGTTCAGGGTGTATTCAGGGTTTAGGGTTTAGGGTGTAGGTAGTTTAAAGTCAGAATCCAAACCCTCAACTTCGAGCATGGCAGGACTGATATCTGAGCTCCATTGTTGTTCCTGACAAAGGTCGATTTAGCTAAGGGTTTAGTGTTTAGGGTTTAGGGTTAAGTTAAACTTCTTTGGGGCTTACGATCTAGGGCTTAGGGTCCTTTACCTGGGATCTTTGTACGGTAGTTTCCCTAAATAGGGGGACCCCGCTATAGACCCCAACATATTATAATCCTTATTATTACACCCAATATTGGGAGGCCTCCGTATAAGTTTTTGAATCCTTGAGAACCCTCGTCTCAAGACTCAAAATGACTTCCCTTAGGCCTCCTGACTCCCAAAACGTATAGATTGACCCCAGGCAGCCCCATGGCGAGGCGCCACTTTGGGTAAGGAGTTGACACCACAGATGTTTAGAGTTTTGGACTTAAGGGTTCAGGGTTTGGGTTAGTTAATGTTTTGGGAAAACATTGTCCCTAACATAGAATTAGATTGTATTTGCTGAGAGTTATAATCTAGTACTCATGTGAAGAATGTCATCTTACCTAGTTTAAGCACCGAAATAACCCTACTCAAGAGCTTTGAGGGCTTGGGGGTTAGGGTCAAGTGCTTAGGGTTGAGGGTTCAGGGTCCATTGCGCAGGGTTTGGGTTGAAGTGCGCTGTGTTTGGGATTTGAGGTCAAGTGCCGGCGTTTAGGTTAGAGGTTCTGGGTGAAGATTTAGGTTTAGGGTCCGGCCGATAGAGTTTAGTAGGATATGGGGTCAAGTGCTTAGGGTTTAAGGCTTAAGGGTTTCCTGCCAAGTGCTTGGGGCTCAGGGTCAGGTGTTGATGTTTTGGGCTGAGGGCCAAGTGCTTCGAGTGTAGGTTCACACGCGTAGGATATCGGGTCAAGCGCTCTGCGAGTACTTCCGGGTCCTTAGGTTCGATAGTCACAGAAGTTGAGCGATTTGAAGGTGCCTGAGAGTTGGTACCCATCCCTGTGCCCCACCCACTGTGGGGTTCTCATGTTGGACGGTTGGGTGTTTTGATGTACCGCATGTATGAATGGAGGTTCGATAGAGTTTCTGCTATGAAGGCTATGACCTTTGTTGAGGACCTGAACTTGCACATGCAGTCCTACAAGCGAATCGCTGTTCAATCTTCTATCCAGGCCTCCCATAGCGGTTCTGTGTATTGGTCTATCGCATCCCCGACAAGTAGGATCCCATGATAGGAGCACGGATCCTATCGCAAAATGCAGTGTAGTAATTGCAATCAGAACAGCACTCCCAGGTAATGTTTAGTTTTTCAGTTCAGGGTGCAGAATGCAAAAAAAAACGAGTGACCAAGATTGAGCTAACCTTCAGCCGCGGGGCGGATTCCGGCATTGAGTAAGCAGAAGTTGAACATGCCCCTGGGATGAAGTCTGCTCATGATAGGAGACCTGGTGCTTCTTATTTTTGTCCAGGTATTTTTGATTTGCCACTATCAGGATCACGCGGGTGAATATCTTTGGCTGCGCTTTCACGAACACAACTGTCAACCTTCAGCTTTTCCTGCTTACTGTGTGGGATTTTCAGGATTTTCAAGGGCAAAGCCCCTTGGCAGCGTGCTCTTGAAGGTTTGATTTGGACAGGAGTGCCTTCTTGGGCCAGCTTAATGTACAGGCCAAAAAATCAATCTTATGGTGAAATATTCCTTGCACATAGTAGAGGGTACCTCAACTAGACCCCAAACTTAGACTGGTAGTCAGTCTACTTAGGCCCCTACAGTATTCAACTTCGCGCTGGTGTCCCAGCAGTCCATGCCATTAGCAAGTGTCCATGCTACGATCCAGTCTCAATGAAGACTGTTTTTTTGGGTGGGGGGGGGAAGTTTGTAAACACAAGGCTTCATGCCCTTTCTAAAAATGGAGGTGTCCTAAAATTAGGTGTGCCAGTTTGGGATCCCCGCAAAAAGGATTATAATGTATTGGGGTCTAGGTTTACATAGAGGTCCCCTTATTTAGTGAAACTACCATGAGAGCTTCTGGGGAATGCCAGGACATGACAATGATGCCGTTAAACTTTCAGCAGTTCTCAGAGTGCCTCAGCGCCGAGCTCAGCGGACTCCACCGGTAGCATTCTTAAATCCTAACCCTACGGATCCATGCCTAGACATTCTATCTTTCATTGGGTCCCAATGTTTATAATATGATACCCACTTTGGGCTATATGGATCCCTATGGTATCCGAAACCCTAAGGTCTGGACCTTTTGAACCTGAATCCTAAAGCCTAAACCCTACCTCTAAGCCTGTACTTCCCAAACCCTAAACCATGAACCAAGTAACCCAAGCTTTGCACGAAAAAGGCAGTTTCTATTGCAGGTGCCGGCCGTCCACCTGTAAAAGACAACTTTCACCACGGGCCCAACCTGTTTTTAGGAATTAGGGTTTAGGGTTTAGGGGTTTAGGATTGATTGTTCAGCATTTAGGGGTTAAGGATCTAGGGCTTTGGATTTAGGATCTAGGGTTTACAGTCTAGGCTTTGGGTTACCCGGTTAATCGAGGGGGCGCAGATGGGATCCAGCAGAAGGGATCGGGATATTGCAAGCTTGTGTAAAAATTCTCAAAATGTCAATAGGCAAATAGGTTTGCGCAGTTTTCTTAATTCTGCTTAACAAACTACCCAAACAGCTGTGGTAGAAGAGAACGGAAAATCATGGCAACTTTTCGCGCAACTTCCGAAACACATTCGCCGCAACATAGTTGTGCTAAATGTCGCTCCATTCTACTTTGCCATGATCCTATGTACTTGATTCCTTCCATGCATCTCTGAGTTAACCCTGTGGCATTTGGCCCAGTCTTTTGAGGGCATGGCGCCTGGGTTCCTACAATTTCTCGCTGTTTAAGTGACAACACACGACCCATACCTGAGGTCAGCCCTCCCTACAGCAATAGCTCTTTAATATGGAACTTGTAACACCTTAATATACTTACAATAGTTCCTCGTGGTACCCATTACTGCGTGGGGGATTGACCCAATACATACTAGGATGTCAGAATCCATTTGGTTCCATCGAAGCTTGATGTCCTTCGTTGCGGTCCCCAGCTCTGCATTTCTGGTCGGCTATTTAATTAATGTCGTGTATACCCGAACTGGCAGCAATAGTTCAGGCATGCGTGGAAGTTTCCCGTCGTTCATGTCGTTTCCCAGGTGGTGAGTGCACGTCTTGGATACACACAGACCGCTGTACTACACGAAGCAAGGCCGTATTTTTGCAACACAACATTGCTGACACGAGGCGTGAACTGATGTCTTGTCATACGCTTGAGATTTCCGGTTGGCATTACAAGTCCCGCATGACCCTTAGTACCCCTAAGGTTTGAGAATTCAGGTGCTACACTTACATTGCCCCGGTTTCCATGCAATCTTGTATTTTCTTTTTTCATTTGGTTCCCCATACCTAGGGCCATGCAGGACTTTTAGTAGCAACCTCATAAACACCCCTATATTAGCCCAGCTTCCGTTTCAACACTTATTTTCTTTCCCTGTGACGCTCCATTACTGCGAGAATATCCCTATACCCCTTCAACGGGACCTAGGGCTTCCATTTCCTGTTCCGCATGATTGTAATATCAACAATAGGAATGGCTAACACATGCCTACTTGGGGAGCTTGACCTGGGTCCCCTAAGCCCCAGACCCTAAACCCCAAACCCTAAGCCCCAAACCCTAAGCCCTACTCAACAAGGCCTAGTCCTCCTTTGAGAAAGGCTATAGTCTAAACTCCTTAAAGGGGTTTATATAGGGGATTAGTTTGGAGCCGTTGGGAAATCAGTCACCCCTAGCTGAGCATTGGCACATGCGGAGTCGGCAAAGGGACTCATCGGTTTCCGAATGGCCTGATCCAGAACCTTTTTTGTGTGTTGTGTTGTTGTCTGCCATGTGTCGTTCGCCAGTTGAATGTCATTGGTACGCACCCTAGCCCCCTAAACGCCTAAACCCGTAAACCCTAAACCCTAGACGTCTACCGGAAAGTGGGATTCTGATTTTGCAGCATTGGTCCGAAAAGTTGCTGCAGATGCCGCTCTCACAAAGTTGTTTTTGTAGTGGGTGCTCGTAATACAGTTGAGTTTCCCTATGTCATTGTGATTGTCAGCCTAAAGAACGATTGCAAGTCAGGAGCCTAGAAAAAACAACTTTCAACGTAAGCAGCAACGCTTACCATATATCCGTATGGTGTATGGTAGCTTAGCTTAAGCACTTTATAAGGCCTAAACCCTAAACTGCAACCCAGTCATGCCCCAAACCTGAAACCTGGACCGAAGCTGGAAGCAAGTTGAGGCCGAGTCTGGGTGATACAACCGGAGGCTGGAGAGCTCAGAAGCTGCCAAGCCACAAAGCGTCAACCCCTTTCCTGACTGAGGATTAGTAGGGAAAAGTAGGGAATATGGGCATGTATTCTACAAGGATTGTATAGGGATTTCATTCCCCTATTTCCCACTAACTGCTGTTGAGCTTGCTGCTTCATAGCATGGAACTTTGTATCATGGTGTTTTGATTGTTGGGGTCCACAGACCAGGAGTGTTTGTCCTGGGTTCCCGGGGATTGCTATGTCAGCCTGAGTCAGCCTGCCACAGCATTTATACTTCTTGCCCAACCCACCCGACCAGCGAACCATCCCAGATGTGGATTGGGTTTGCCCTCAGATGGACATAATGTCCTGCTCTGGCATTGTTGGAAATGCTGGCAAGAGGACCCAACCGCAGGAAATCGCGCTAGGGCTGAGGAAGACAGTGGAAAAATCTCAAGCCTGAGACCCCAGATGTCCTCCTACGTAGCTTTGGATTGCTCACGGGCCCAAATGTGGCAGTGGATCAGGAGCATCGCGCAGTCTTCGACGTCGTCCGGGACCCGTACCTCAGACGCAGCCAGCTTCGTGACGGTCTGAGAAAGGTAGATAGATTATCTCAGCAACAGACCCCAACAGCGATGGAAGAGCACCGCGGTTATTTTTCCGTCGTTAGCTACGCCTTCCGAACCCTTCGTGAGAGCTTTCTTGTTTAGATTATTGGCAAGGCGCTTAGAATAATAATGGCAAATGGTTTCGGCGTCGTTATATCTTTTTTATGCCAGCCGCGTCCAAAGACATATTCATGGACTGCTGCGTT